CCTAGTCAGCTGTGACGTATTAGCATTGCAACTAAGAAAATAAAACAAGGGCTAGAGAGATGGCTCACTGTTAAGAGCATTGGCTGTTCTTCCAGAGGACCTGGGTTCAGTTCCCAGCACCCCACATGACAGCTAACAACTGTCTCTAACACCAAGATCTGACACCCTCATACAGATGTACATGCAGGCAAAACACCAATGTAAATAAAATGAAAATAAATAAATTTGTATAAAAAAAAAAAAAGAAAACCTTAACCAGGATGACTATAAAGCCAGGTGTGGTGGCGTATCCCTGGACTCCCAGCTCTTGGGATGTGGAGGCAGGAGGATCTGTCAGTCAGAACCAGCTCCAGCTCCATAACAAGTTTGAGACTACACCTATTTCAAACAATCACACCAGAAATCATTTATCACCCTTTTCTGGCTGTCACCCATGTGATTGGGAAAAGGTGGGTCCTGCAGTTAGGTTTGAAACACAGCCACTAGAGTCTTCCCTTTTCTCAACACTGAACCTCCAGACATCTGGCCTCCAGAGTGTGACAAAGCCGTTTATACAACAGTATCGGGTGGAGTGCCTGGCTACCCTAGGGCACAGAGCTTTGCTTGGCTGGAGTCGGTGCTTAATGTTTATCCCTGGTTAGAACAGTCAGTTGGTGTAGATGATCTATGCAGCCTTTAGGATTCATGGTCATGAGTGGGCAAATGGAAGATGGTCTGGGAGCAATTGAGGGTCAGAAGCCAAGGACAAAAGGAAATAAGGTCTACCCTTGCTTCTTAATGGCCAGGAGCAAAGCACACTAGTTCTGAAATCAGCTCTAAAATGAGCTCTGATTTCACCGTTGAATCAATCACTGTTGATTCTCGATGCTGTGAGCCTGGAGAAGCCCCAGTGTGCTGGGTCTGCTGCCCTACGTATTTCCCCATTTGCTGTGTTCTGATGCCCCAACTTTCCATCTTACATAACGTGGGAACATCGCAACTTCTTTCATTCAAAGACTAGGGAGACTGAGTATGGTTGTATGTGCCTGCAGTCCCAACATTTGGAGGGTAGATACAAGAGGATCAGGCATTCAGGGTGAGTTTTAGACCAGTCTGGACAACATGAGACTGTCTCCAAAAAAAAGAGAGCCAGAAGTGGTGGTACATGTCTGTAATCTCAGCACCAGGAGGCTGTGGTAGGGGAATCACAAGTTAGCCTGAGCTATGTTAGCAACAGTCCATCTCAAAACTAAAAAACCAAAGTAACAAAAAAGGGAAGCGCATCCTTGTAGCTGGCAGAGAGGCTAAGTGCCCACCTGGTAACCAATACTGAGCTCCCTTGGGTTTGTCTGCAGCACCTGTCTGAGTATGTGGATACTCCTCAGCTGGCCTCTGGTTTTGAGGCCACCATCAATAACTTTGACAAAAACTTTTCTGCCCATCTTCTTGATTTGCTGGCCCGACTAAGTGTCTACAGCACAAGTGACTGTGAACATGGCATGGCCAGCGTCATCTCCAGGTAAGTAACGCCCTTCCTGACTTTGAAGCCTAGCCCTGCCATCTGCTTTCACTGTAGCCCTGCTCCCTATAGCCCCCAGCAGCAGACACCCTACTCTGGGCAAAGGCCAAAGAAGGAAGGGGCCAGCTGTGAATAATCTGGTGATGGGGTTATCGATGGGATAAGAAGGGGTTCTGACTTCATTCAGAATTGGGTACTATCCCTGAATTGCCCTTTGAAAAGTGCTAGTTTGTACATTGGGGCCATCTAGTACCCTGTGCCACCCTACAATGCCCTAGTTTCTAGGGTCATTACCACTGAAAGTCACTGCTAGGCACCCTCAGACTCCCATTGCCAGGAGATGCTAGGTGATGGGACCCCTAACCCATGGTGTTGGGTTGAAACCTGCTGGTGTACCCATGCACTGGCAAATGGAGCATGCTCTTCTCTCTGCCTGGAAGAGGCTCTGAGTTGTGTCTGTCGCATGACTGGGAGAAGAGGGGTTACCACATGGACAACCCATGGCAGATCCTGTGTATCTTCTCAGCTTGGACTGGACTCCGCCCTACCCTAGAGCTTTCCTAACTCTCCTTTCCCTCCTCTAAAGGCTGGATTTCAATGGTTTCTATGCCGAACGCCTGGAACGTCTGTCTGCAGAAAGGAGTCAGAAGGCTGCGCCCCAAGTGCCTGTCCCAAGGGGGCCCCCAGCACCAACACCTAGGGTGGCCATCCCTGCACAATGAGCTCACTTCTTAAATATCATCTTCCTGGAATATGTGTGTTGTGTGTTATTACTGGTTAAATATGGTTTGAGTTTCCATTGTGGCTCAATGAGTCCCTTTTTCAAGGGCTAGATTTCCTTTTAGAGGCTTTCCAGGGGGGCTGAAGAGATGGCTTGGTCACTAAAGTACTTTCTGTACAAGTATTAGGATGAGTTCAAATCCTTACCATCTTGTTTAGGGCTTTGATTGCTGTGATGAGACACCATAAGCAAAAGCAACTCCAAGAGGGTAAGGTTTGTTTCATCCTACAGCTTATGATCTAGTCTATTATACAAGACAATCAGGGCAGGAACCTAGAGACAGGAACTGATACAGAGACCATGGAGGAGTACTGCTTACTGACTTTCTCCCATGGCTTACTCAGCCTGCTTTTTCATCACACCCAGGACCAGGACCAGCTCAAAGGCAGCACTACCCAGGGTGAGCTGGCCCCTCCTATATCAAGCATCAATCAAGGAAATGCACCACAGGACAACCTTATGGGGCATTTTCTCAGTTGAGGTCCCCTCTTCTAAAGTATGAAATTTATGTAAGTTTCACCCATTATACCACCTACATAAAAAGTTGAGTGTAATGGAACACTGTATTCCCAGAGCTGGGGGATAAAGGTAGGAGGATTCCTGGGGCTTACTGGCCAGCCAGTCTAGCTGAATCATGAGCTCAAGATACCCATCTCTAAATAAATAAGTAAAAATTAAAAATAGGATGGAGAATAATAGAGGAAGTAAACTGGAATCAGTCTCTCACTTCCATGTCCACAAGCGCACACACATGTACTCAATAAATAAATAAAAATGGAAGCTGCCTGTACCAGAGTAAGATGTCCCCAGACTTAACTGTTTGCCTTTAAAATCCAGTCTGGGGGGGGGGCGGCGTGAGCTTTTAGCCACCTCAGACAGTAAAAGTACATTGTTTGTGCAAGGAACAATATAATTAGAAAATGCCATGTAGGAGAGGTGAGCCTGGGGTTGGGACTGTTCTCTACATGTTTTGGATCTGCCTTGGTGAACACTAGGGGGCAGCATTATTCCTGACTGAAGGTAGCCTTTCTTGGTCAGTGATTGCACAGCTCTTCACCAAGGACCCTTAAGGTGTACTCTCTGAGTCATATCCTTGGAGGTAGGCTAAGCTTCAAGCTGGAAGCTCCTGCCCCAACCAGGGTCTGGATGCCATTTATCCATTTGATGCAAGCCTTGCCTTTAGGGAATTACTCAGCAAAGTACCTAACAAGTTGTGTTGTGGCTGCTTATCTCAATGGCTTTCTGTTTTAGTCCTGGAGTGGACAACATGCCCTTGATATGATGATACTCCTCTGCTCTAAGGTGGTCTGCTTTAGCTAAGCTGCCTTTCCTATGAATAGGTGTGTCCTTGCAGAATCCAGTTTTAAATATCTGTGCACCACCACCACCACCACCCCACCCCCCACCATATGATGATACTCCTCTGCTCTAAGGTGGTCTGCTTTAGCTAAGCTGCCCTTCCTATGAATAGGTGTGTCCTTTGCAGAATCCAGTTTTAAATATCTGTGCACCACCACCACCCCCACCCCACCCCCCACCCACACACACACACCCTGCTTCCATGGGCTTGGGGAGTGAGGAAGTGCTCAGGAGGAGTGAAGACTGGCTAGTTAAGCAGAGCCCCCCTGGAGTGCTTAGCTTTTTCAGCCACACAGTTTCTTCCGGTCTGCAGCATGTGCAGGCTTGCCCGAGTAAATGTCCATTGGCCAACCCAGTGTTGTCAGAATAAATGCCAGACTGAGCAGAGCTTAGCGGCCTGTTTCCAGGAGCCCAGAAACCCATGTTTCTGGTCTTAATCTACAGTTCCCAGGTTTGCATGGGGCCCAACTCCAAACCCTCCAGGGTACCTGCTGGGTGATGTTGGCAATGAGTTAAGGCTGTCTTGAGTGGTGGAGTGAGTATCCATCATTTCCAATGTATTTCTGCCAGTGCAAGACAAGGTTTGCCCCACCTGGTCCTGGCTTTTGATTATACCTTGTTCCTTTACCTTCAGTATGGATGGTTGGACTTTCAAGACAATGGTGCATACTGATAACAGCTCTTGATTTTGCCTCTGATTTGATTAGAGAAAATTACCTTGAACCTTCACTGTCACCTAACTTGCAATGTAGGAGTAGTTAAGGTCCTGCGTATGTGGAAGTCAGCCTTACCCAAGAGCTCTGCCTGGTGCTTCCTGTAGTCTGGTATGTCCGCTCTAGCCCTAAGCACTGTGAGCTGATGTTTCAGGCAGTGAGTTGCCGGTGAAATTCCTGACCCATGGCTGCATTTCTGACCTTATCTCATTCACAAGAGCAGTGAAGTGACAGTATCATTTGTGCCTCAGCTTAAATTCTTAGGTACAGTCCTTGGGATATGGTCGAAGACTCCAGCCCAGTCTGCCCTAGTTTTCCCTTCTTGCTGAACTGCCAGGCTCTGTTGATAGTCTGGGTGTCTCCTCTTACCCCTTAGGTTACATTGCCCTGGTGGGGTGGGTCTGCGAGGTCTAACCACATCTGTGCCCACAAGGCTGGATCACAGTGGAAGACATGGCCACAAATAATAAACAGGCTTGACCACATCCCCAACAGTCCTGGGTTCCCACAGTAACAGACCCACCTGGAGAAGCTGGGAACCAGGCCATGGTAGGGGTGCTGAGAGCTCAGGTTCTAGGACAGCTCTTCCCTTAGGACATAAGGACAGAATTTGGGCCTGCACAAGGAGAACAGTGCATCAGGACCCCCTACAGTGGGGCTAGGATAGGACCCCAAAGGGTCAGTCATGTAAGCTTCTTGCTTGCTGTCACTTGGTCATCTGGGCCTAGACCCACCTATCTGGTTCCTACCTGCCTTTTCCTCTCCAGTGAGGCCTCAAAAGCCTGAATAAGCTGGGCAGGAACTTTGGGAAATATCAGCTCCCACAGGGTGGTCCTGGGCCCACACTGCCCCTCCTTGCCTCTCCCTAAGACTTTCAGTTGCCCAAGAAGTCAGAGTCCCCACCTTCTGAAATGTAGGCTCACAAGTCACTTCCCCTTCAAAAGTCATCTTCTTCTAGCTAGACTCCACCCAATTAGCAAAACCAAGCTCTGGCAGGGCTGGAAGGCTAGGCCTTGGTTTCTTCATTAGGACTGGGAGCTTGTAGAATTGTAGAGTTGGCCATGTTGGTCCAAAATTATGGGAGACCAGTAGGAGAAGCAAAGCTATCCAGAAGCCATTGGAGAAGAGCCTCTGTAAACCCAGAATGCCCTGGAGGCTGCCAGTAGGGTACTGGTACAGAGGTATACACATCTCGCCACGCCTAGCCCCACCCCATGACCTAGTGATTGGCCAGTCCTGATCTCTGGGAAGGGCTTTCAGAAAGAAGTAACCACCCCAGTGCTCAAGACAGTATTTTATGGACCCTCTAGGGTCAGTGTGCCCAAGACGCCATCATGCTCGGCCTCTGGCTACTCAGCACCCTATGGACAACCGGTGAGTGATGATTATTTGATTTTAAGGAACCCATTCAGGGTTTGGTGGTCTGCCTAGTGGCCAGTTACCATGGTCAGGTCACCTTGTCTCCCTAGAATTGGTCCTTGGGTATGGAGAAAATAGGTAGATACAGAAAAGATCAGAATTGGGATTTTTTCGAAAGTGAAGTGTAAGAGAAGTTGCTTCCTAGGACTTTCCCCTTAAGCTGACTACAGAAACAGTGACACCACTAGGTGTGGTACCCACAGGGCAGCTTCCCTGGCTGCTGTAGGAGTCCCAAGCAGCAAGGTTTACCTGTGGGATCATGAAGGATGCTGAACCCTCTAGCTGGGCAAGGACAACTCAATGATGCAGTGGTCCCAGCTCCCTAGCAACACGGGGTCCTGTCTCCCACTGGAAACTTGGTTTACCTTTGTCCTGGGAGGCCTCTGGCTGAAGTGGCCTTATACTTTCAGTCCTGGAAGTTTAGGGTTAAAAAGCTGCAGCCTTTGTCCATGCAAAAGAGGACACTGGAAAAGGTGGTGTCTAAAACTGAACCTGCCTACAGAGGGCCACTCATCATTTGTTGGATACTGAAGTTTTCTGCTAGGAAGAGAAAAGCCTGAGGGAGGGGTACTTTCTTCATCAATTAGATATGATCATGTAACTAAAGATGAGATCAGGTCAACTCTAGATGTCTGGCAGGCAGACCAAAGGGCCTATATGGATTCTCTCCGGGTAAGTCCAGATAGGCACTGGGGAAGGGTGGGAGCACTGTGCACGGGTTCAGACTGACTCTAATGTGATAGATCTGGTGATAGTTTAGACACAAAGCTATTATCTGAACCATGGGGCCAGATCCTATTGCTGGCACCTAGCCATGTGGCGATTCCCCAGACAAGGGGGATAACACTGACCAGACTTCTTGAGGTAGGATAGTCCGTGCCATGCCTTCTGACCCTCTTTCTCCTGTAGTCATAGCCGCTGGACCTCCTTTGCCCCATGTGAAACAGTATGAGGTGGTATGGCCTCAGCGACTGGCTGCATCCCGCCCCCGCAGAGACCTGCCCTCCCACCGGGTAAGTCCTTTAGCTTGGCCCTACAACCTATTTCTGTAAAAGAACCAGCAGCCTCTGGGGGCTGCCCTGCACAGCTCTAGGACCTAAATCTGTCTGTGCTTCTGGGCATGGCTGTGGTCCCTCCCTCCTGGTCTCACCACTTCCTTCCTCCTTCCACCACCCTGAGTCAGTCTAGGGTCTCCAAGGTAGGCACTAGGACCCACTGCCTTGCTCCTTTGGAGACAATTGGCTCAGCCTGGAGAGACCTGTCACCAAGAAAAGGTACAGCAGCCCCAGGCCACTCCCCAGTTTCAGTTGGCAGCGGTTGTCAGATTAGCTAGCAGCTGCTCACCCTAAAGCTATGTAAATACCTTGAACACCTCTCAGCCTGGGATTTCCTGGGGCTGGGAACTGAGAATTGCCTGAAGACCTACAGGAAGATTCCTGGCCCTGTCCTTGTTTGGATCTCCAGGAAATGTCTGTCTCTGCCTGGGGCTTTCCTCTTTCCTGGTGTGTTCTGTCCCTAGGCCTAGCTGGTTGTACACATGGTGTATGAGTGAAGGGTCATGGAGTGTATAGCACACACCTGCCCTGAACCTCAGGATGGACACCATAGCCAGCTGTGCAATAGTGGCACTGAGGGGGGTCTGTTTACCTTGCCCACCTCCAAGTTGCCCTGGATTCAGTGCCTATCTGGCTAAGGCCATGTACCCCTCCCTACCCTGCTTCCTCTGGGAAGAAATGTCACCACCACCACCACCACCACCACCATCATCATCATCACCCTTGTGAACAAATGGGGAAATGGCTCAAGGGACCAAAGACTTCTATGTTTTTCTGATTTATCTGGGAGACCTGCTTTCCTGTCCTTCCCAAACAGCTCAACCTGGCCCCAGCCACCTACTTCCTTGCCTGAAACTAATGAATTGCCAGGGTCTCCTGGGCAGGCTCTTCTGGGAGCTCTCTGCTATGAAAACCCTAGCCTTCAGCTAAAGGCCATTCACCCTGACTCCCCATCCAGGGCCTGTACCCAGAGAATTTGAGCTATGCTCTTGGGACCAAAGGGAACAATTTCACCCTGCACCTTAAGAAGAACAAGTAAGCAGATTCTGGTTCTTGGGTCAGTCCCTGAGACCAGTGGGAAGTAGGGGCTCCCGTGTGCCAGAATCCTGGCCCAGGCTCCCTATAGGGGCCACTCAGGGTGAAGTAGAACTAAGGAACTTCGATGGTTCTCTTCCAGGGACCTGCTGGGCTCAAGCTACAAAGAGACCTACTCAGCTGCCAATGGCTCTGAGGTGACAGAGCAGCTGCATGGGCAGGTATGGTGCCAGGACCAGCAAGCATTCCCTGGGCCAGTGAGACCATGGCAGCAAGACCTATGCCCCTCTCTCACTTCTTCAGGACCACTGCCTCTACCAGGGCCATGTGGAAGGGTACGAAGGCTCAGCTGCCAGCTTTAGCACCTGTGCTGGCCTCAGGTATGTATTGCAGACCCAAGCAGGAAGTCCTATTCTACAGAAGGGTAAACTGAAGCAGTGAAAAAAAGGACCTTGGCATGAGACTTTGAAAAAAAAAATCTTTCTTTTTCTGTGTTTGGGGCTCTTACTTAGACTCCATTAGGAATTGCCAGCCAGGCAAAAACCCTTCTTGCCTCCAGTGTCCACAAGTCTGGGCATCTCCCACAAGGGCGGGAGGTGGCTGTTGTGGGCAGTAGGCATGGACCACTTGTCCTCCCAGATAGGCAGGTAGGAACAAGCTGACCATACCCTCTGTTCACCTGGCTCTTCCTCAGGGGCTTTTTCCGAGTCGGGTCCACTGTCCACCTGATTGAACCTCTGGATGGTGATGAAGAGGGCCAGCATGCAATGTACCAGGCGGACCACCTGCTTCAGAAGGCTGGGACCTGTGGGGTCAGCGACACCAGCCTGGATGACCTAGGGCCTCGGGCCTTAGAAATCTACAGGTCTCAGCCCCGGGTGAGCAGCAGCATCCCCCGCTGGCCAGTCCAGCCACAGACACTATGCATGGGCCTAGGCATAGCTGTCTGTAGCCCTGAAACAGGCCCGGTGCCCAGTGGTTGGGCCTGCCTCAACCCTGCCGCTACAGAGAAAGTCCACTGCGCCGGAGATGTCTAGACTGCCTCCCAACGTAAAATTGGGCTCTGGGGTAAGTTGGGGCCAGGGCCAAGAATGCTAACTGGATTCTTTCCCTAGAACTGGCTACTAGGCAGAGAAACCCGCTATGTGGAGTTGTATGTGGTCACTGATAGCCAAGAGGTATGGGATGCAGGGGCTGAGGGGGCTGGATGAGCTGGGATGAGGTTGCCAGGCCTCAGCCTAAGGATCCTGTGTTTCCAGTTCCGGGAGTTTGGGAGCAGAGAGGCTGTACGCCAGCGTGTACTGGAGATAGTAAACCACGTGGACAAGGTGGGTTGCCCAGGGGTGCTGACACTTAGAGAACGTGCAGCTGTTTAGGGTGGAAAGGCCAAGATAGCCAATCAAGAGGGAAACTAGTTCAGGGCTCTGTACTGAGCTCAGTACCTGACCAGCCAGCGCCTAGACTCAGTATCTCCCAGTGGTGAAATGGATGTAATGCCCTGTCCATCCCCACCCCTGGCCTAACCCCAGGGGCACTTCTCATCCTCTGCAGCTTTATCAGGAACTCAATTTCCGTGTGGTCCTGGTGGGCCTGGAGATCTGGAACAGGGACAAGTTCTACATCAGCCGCTATGCCAATGTTACACTGGAGAACTTATTGAACTGGAGGGAACAGAACTTGCTAGGCCGGCACCCACATGACAACGTGCAACTTATCACGTGAGTGGGGATGCGCACCCATCCACCACAGTGAGACAGAGATTTGGCCTCTTTGGGGACAGCCTAGCCTCGAGGGCAGGACACCCGAGCAGAGATGTGCAGGGATGAAGAGGGGCCAGGAACCATTCCATGTCATGTCTGTTTCTAGGGGGGTCGATTTCATTGGGACCACTGTTGGACTGGCTAAGGTGTCTGCCCTGTGTTCCCGGCACTCAGGAGCTGTGAACCAGGTAAAAGGAATTCTCACCCAAGTTTTTCAAGCTGTCTGGTAACTGAACAGTCAAACACAGAGCCAGAGTTGCGGGGTAGAAGTGTCCGTTCAGGTCCCTAAGACACCATGAAGCAGTCACCTGCTCTGGGGATGGATTTGGAACCCTTCTTTTTTTTAGGGTATTAGCAGGAAGCAGTATCATGCCACCTAGGGTGGCAGAGGGCATGTGGGTAGATGGTAACAAGACAGTACTAATGAACATATCCTCATAGGACCACACTAGAAGCCCCATTGGTGTAGCATCCACCATGGCCCATGAGCTGGGCCACAACCTGGGCATGAGCCATGATGAGAATATCCAAGGATGCTACTGTCCTGTCCCACGTGAGAATGGCGGCTGCATCATGACGCAAAGCTTGGGGTGAGGTCCTTGGGACATATTGGATAGGAAGAGACAGATTGGCATGTCGAATTTCCTAATGGTGACATCCCTTGCCCTTAGCTCTGCGTTCCCCAAGAAATTCAGCAGATGTAGCCAGGTCGACCTAGAGGCATTCGTGGTGAAGCCCCATACAGACTGCCTGACCAATTTCCCAGATGTCAACCGGTTCGTGGGTGGCCCTGTGTGTGGAAACAAATTTGTAGAGCGTGGAGAGCAGTGTGACTGCGGTACACCTCAGGTCTGTCTCACCCCATCTCTGCCCCTTGCTGGTCAGCCCCAGCATTAGTGTAGGGGGCTCAACTCAAGGTCCTTTTGCTTAGGTTAGCCTCTCAGGCCCTGATGTTATGTGCCCACACCACATTTGGCCCTTGGGATCACCAATTACCACATTTCCCTTTGAGCCCCTAATAACCTATAAGGGAGTTGGAGATAAATTGGCTGCAGCCGCTTACCCAGTGATCACCAAAGGCTAATCCACTCTGGAACAAGGTCTGGCTAGGTTGTAGCTGCTCAAACCATTGTCCCCCTAGGACTGCACGAACCCCTGCTGCAATGCCACCACCTGCCAGCTGGTCAAGGGGGCAGAATGTGCCTATGGTGCCTGCTGTCATAGGTGCAAGGTAAGTTGGACTCCACCCAGAAAATTCCCCAGTCAAACCCAGGACAACAGGATACCTGTGAAGGCATCATATGGGCCTGTCCCACAGTAAACTTCTCTGTGGGACCAGGTGAAGCAAGCTGGTGAGCTGTGTCGCCCCAGAAAGGACAGATGTGACCTGGAGGAGTTCTGTGATGGCCAGAAGCCAACATGTCCTGAAGATGCTTTCCAACAGAATGGCACACCCTGCCCAGGGGGCTACTGCTTTGATGGGAGCTGCCCCACACTGGCGCAGCAGTGCCAGAGGCTGTGGGGGCCAGGTGAGGCAGGAATGAGCATAGGATGGGGGCCAGCTTGTGGCATATCTATGACCTAAACCAGTCTATTTTCTCCTGGCCCTATAGGTGCTCGGGTTGCATCAGACTCTTGCTTTACCTTTAGCATCCCTCGGGGCTGCAGTGGCAAGATGTATCCTGGCAGGTAAGTATCAAGGCCAAACTGTTGTTGCTGGATGTGGTATGTCTTCAATGGCAAGGCTAGTCCACAGAAAATCCCCCATAGAGGAGGCCTGCTCTGTAAGGCAGGTGGCTTTCCTGGAGTCTTCCCTGTTTCAAGTCATCAGCCTGAACCTGTCTTCCTTGAGGAAGGAGAGGTCCTGGAACCATCTCCTGCAGCATCCAGGCCCCTGAGCATATGCCCAGGACACCTGTGACCACAGCCTGCCCTATGTCTGCAGGATGAACCGATGTGGGATACTGTACTGTGAGGGAGGCCAGAAGCCCCTTGAACGTTCCTCCTGCACTTTCTCCTCCTACTACGGAGTCTGCCAAGCTCTCAACACAGACAGCAACAATGGTGCCTATGAGATGGTACTCCAGGGTACCAAGTGCGAGGAGGGGAAGGTAAGCTGAGAAACACTTGAAATCTGTCCAGGGCTGCTGATGACCAAATGTGCCCATATGAGTCTCTGATGATGTCCTATACAGACAGTGTTGGCTGGTGGAGGCATGTGTGTGGAGCCTCTATTATGCCCTAGTCAAAACTGAACAGGTAGCAAGCAGGTCAAGTGGAGATACCTGTCTGGAGACCACCATACCCAAAGTGTCCCCAGGGTCACCTAGCTTATCCAGTACCACCCTCACGGCTGAGCCCTCAACCCCCCACCCCCACACACATACATGCACACACATACAAGTATGAGGCCATACTTGTTATCTTGGAGTGTGAACATACTAGCTGTCCTGGACTAACCTTTGGGTTTGAGGATTGTGGGGTGGGGGTTGGGTCTAGGCCAGCTGCCCAAGACCCCTTCCACCTTCCAGGTTTGCATGAATGGATACTGCCAGGACCTCCGTGTGTATAGATCTGAGAACTGCTCTGCTAAGTGCAACAACCATGGGGTACGTGTGACCTTGAACCTCAGAAAGCAATATACCTACTGTCTGGTGTCCTCAAGCTAAGTGGCTGCCACCACTTACTTTTCTGATGGAACTTGTGGCAGAAATAGCTGTTGATATAGCAATGTGGGCTCAAACTAGCCTATATCCTTCTAATGGAGGCATCAACAAGGCCTCTCTAAGGCTGAGGTGGGACAGGTGCTCTCCACTGAGCTTGTGGCCAATGGACAGTGTGGTCACTAGGGAGACTCCTTATAAGCCAAAACTGACTGACACATGTGGAGGAGGACCCTATGTGTGCTGCAACCTGCCCTGCTGCCCTGTAAGGTGTCTGTCCTTGAGACCCAGCTTTCCCTTCAGGTATGCAATCACAAGGATAAGTGCCAGTGCCATGCAGGCTGGGCCCCACCCCACTGTGCACAGCGGCTAGCAAATGTACCAGATAAGCGAGCAGGTACGGTCCTGAGGATGACAGGAGCTGGTGGTATTTGTGGGGGCCTTAAGGGTGGTCAGGGGGGATCCCATAAGTCTACTTCTCAAAGGTAACACTTTGTCCTATTTAAAACAAGGCTAGATAGCCTTGGCCCAGGCACCCAGGGCCACTCCCCACAACCCCTACAGTGTGTTCCTCCCCAGTGGTCACTGAGCCTGCAGCTGTCCACAACACCACAGCCTCCTGGGACTGACTAGGTCTCAATGGTGGCACTGTGGGGCTGGGACTCACTACTACTTCGTCTTCTAACCCATTGCCCGAGAGAGAGCCGGAAGAGCTGGTGTAATGTACTGGGCCATCTGCTGGAGTTCCCAAGTGTTTGACCACATGTGGGGTGTGGGACCTAGGATGTGGTCAAGGGGGACTGATTCTTGGGCCAGTGTCTCCCAAGGGCCCTCCACAGCTCTTGATTAAGTTGGTTTCAGTCTTGGGTGATCATGTGGCCATGTGTCCCACAGCGACTGGGAGCCTTCCAGTCGGTGTGGTGGTGGTTTTGGTGATCCTGGTAGCTGCGATGATCATTCTGGCAGGTGTCATCATCTACCGAAAGGCCCCAAGGCGCATCCAGAGGAGGTGAGGCTGTGGCGGTTGTGACATACCTACATATGAGACACATATTTCCTGCGCTCTGCACTTGGGAAATGGCTTTGCTGTTACTTAAGAAAGGAGAACCATTGCTTCTGTCCGCAGGCCCAGGCAGAGGCATTCAAGGGGTCTTGGGGTTCTCTGGGTGTTGAACAGGCCTGGGTGGGAAGCTCAGGAGAATCCCAAGATCTTTGTTTCTTCTTCTTAGAGGCTGTAAAGGCACAGTGTGTGCAACACAGAGGGGTACACTACGTCCAGAGTTGAGATAACCTCCCCACCCCTAGCCATGGCCAATATGCCCCACCAGGCTCCCACTTTACCCTGTACCAAGACCTTGACCCCTAAGCTGACTGCCAAAGGACAGTTTACCCGGGTCTTCTAAGCACTTTCTAGCATAGCTGCTGAGAGACTTGCTCCTTGGCTTCCTGGACTCACACATGTCCCGTGACTATAGCTTGTCCTGTGTAGAGTATCCCAGGGCAGAGATGCCAGCCTGAGTGACTGGGAGGAGGGCATGCCCAGGAGCCCTGAATTCTCTGCCTGGAAGTAACTATACTTTTATTTGTCTCTTTTTCTCCCCAGGAGTGTGGCACCCAAGCCTACCACAGGACTCTCCAACCCCTTATTCTACATGGGGGACAACAGCCTGACAGATAAGAACAGACTTCCAGGCCCTCCAGAAGTGGTTTCTACCAACAAGCCCCCAAGACCCACAGTGACACCAAAGAGGCCACCCCCTGCAGTAAGTACTGTCCTCTGACAGGTTCTTGGAATTGGGATGAGGGGAACTCGGGCTCTCTATCCCTCTGCCTCAGGGTTTGGCCCATTAGGGATAGTGAAGGGATCTACATAGTGAAGCCTTTTTGTGCAAATTAACTCATGAGCCATGCAATAGCCTGGAGCCTTGAGAAGCATTTCAGTTGAGGGAGAGGAACTAAGTTAAGACCTGTCTTCTAAAGATCTCTATTTGGGGTTTAGACTCTCAGACCTGAGCTAAGAGAAGAATGTCCTTGCTGCTCCCTAAGTGATAACATAGCTAGGGAGTGGGATGGGCCATGCACCTAGCCTGGGTGAGCAGGAAAGGGGAAATATCATTTGGGGAGTGTAAGAGCCTTGGGTCCTAAAGCAGGGGACCTGGTGGGCATGGGTTGGGGGCTTAGCACTGCTTCTTAGGCCCAGGCTTACATTTCTGTTCCCTGAAGCCTACAGCTGCTACATCCAGCCCACCACTCCCTGTTCCAGTTTATACCCAGCAGGTACCAAATCTGGTAAGCCTTGGGAAACAGCCATATGAGTTCTGAGGACTTGGAAACCCCCTGGGAGTGGTATCTGGTGGCTGACTCTGTGGGCCTGGGGCCCTAGGGAAACAACTGCTGTGTGGGCAAAGTAAATTAGCCCTGCCTAGTCAGGGTATTAAATTGAACCTGGGTAGATTCAGGAAACCTGAAAAGGAGGAGGTACTGTTCTATCCCCCCAGCCCTGAACTGGTCCAGTCTGTGGGTTCTGATTCTGTCTTTTTTCCCCAACAGCTTAGACCTGTTCCACCCAACAAGCCCCTCCAAAAACTGAACCCCAAGCAGGTAAGGGGACAGACAGCCTTAATTCTGAGGATACAACCCCCCCCCCACACACACACACACACTACTGCAAGCCTGTGGCCCTTTGGTACAAGCCGTCCTACGCTTTCTCTTGGGAGGAAACTATAGGGGTTTAGAAGGTCTCCAAATGACACTGATTTAAAGCTTTGAAACTAGAGATTCATTCTAGTTCTTTCCTCCCACATTGTTGGAGTCATTCCCAGCAGAGCTCTTCACCTCTAGACAAAGGGAACCCCTTTTCTCAGACCTAAAACGGGTGGCCTATTTGGTATCACTGTGGGTCTCCGGGACTTGTTGGTAGAAACCACCTCATGAGGGCCTGGAGGTCTGCTCTTATCTGGCAGGCTGTTGTCTACCATGTAGAATAGGGGATTGGAGAGCCCTGTGGTGGGCTTGGGTGCCACACTCCTAGGGAGAAAAAAAGATAAGACAATGGTGTAGTCACTTCCAGGTAAAGAATCCAGGACTCCTGGGCATTCCTCCTGACATCTCCTATTTCTAAGAACCCATGGGACACTGCCTGAGTCCCAGCCCTAGATGGCTACCGTAGGGTCATGGCTGGGCTGATAGTGAACCTGTGTGTGCATGTGGCACATAGGTTTGCCTGTCCCAGGAAGCAAATGTAAGGTAGCAGCAGGACAGAAGCCCACTGGCTCCTGAGTTCTGACACAGGCCTTAACTGCACAGCTCAGCTGCCCACATGACCTGTGGGACCTGAAGAGTGGGTTCCTTGCTCTGCCTGAGGTCTTACTGAGAACTTTATCTGCTCTTCTGGGCACTTGTGAACTCTCAAGTGGCTTTCAGTCCACATTTCTCATGTTGAAAGTGCTAGTTGACAGTTTTCTGAGTGTCCCTCTGTCCACTTCTTAACTTCTTATTGTAAGTGGATGTGGGTGATACACTGTTAGCAGGAAGAGCATGGAAAGTAACCAAGATGGCATGGGGGTCTGAATGCCAATGAGTTCTCCACTGGGAGCTATCTTTGTGTTAATGAACTGATGCCTAGAGAAAGAAATGAATGCACGCCTGGGAGATCATTGGCAGATGCTTAAAATACCACATCTCTGGAAACTTTGACACTTGCCTTTTAACAATTGTCACAATGTCTTGCTACAGTGATTGTGTTTTCTTCCTTTTATTTATTTATTATTGTGTGTGAGCATGAATAGCATGGTCCACATGTGGAGGCCCAAGGACTGCTCTGTGAAGTTGACCTTTACTTGGTTCTGGGGATCAAGCTCATGTTGTCAGGCTAGTGCTACAATCACCTTTCCTGGATGATCAGCCTCAGTGGCCCTTGCTGCTGCTGCTGCTGATGATGACTATGTGTGTGTGTGGTGCTTGCATGCTACAGTGTGCTAGCAGGGTCAGAGAACAACTTTGTGGAACTGGTTCATTCCTTCTACTTTCACATATGTTGCAGAGATTTAACTCAAATTGCCATGTGTGCACAGCAAGTGCCTTTACCTAGTGAGCCATCTTACTGGTCCCTGGTTTTTGTTTGTTTGCTTTGTTTTGTTTTTTAAATTGGGTCTCACACTGTAGCTCAGGTTGACGTAGAACTCACTATGTAGTCCAGGCTGGCCCTTAAACTCTCGGCAGTCCTCCTGCTTCAGCCTCTTGAGAATAAATAGGTGTGATTTTCTGCTTTTCTTTTTACGTTTTGGGGGGAGAAGGGGGTTTATTTATTTATTTATTTATTTATTTACTTTTGAGTTAAGATCTCACTACGTAGTCTTGACTAGCCTGAAACTCTCTTTGTAGACCAGGCTGGCCTCAAACAGAGATCCACCTGCCTCAGCCTCTTGAGTGCTAGGATTAAAAATGTGCATCACTGTGCCTGGCCAGGGACTGTTTAGACTTACATAAGAGCCGAAAAACTCTAGCCAAGTGGGTGTGCACATCTTTAATCCCAGCACTCAGGAGGCAGAGACAGGCAGATCTCTGAGTTCAAGGCCAGTCTGGTAAGCAGAGTGAGTTCAGGACAGCCAGGGCTACACAGAGAATCCCTGCCTCAAAAAAAAAATAAATAAAACAACAAAAATTAACCCCAAAACAACAACGAAAGAAAGACAAGAAGAAAGAGGAGGAAGGAAGGGAGGGAAGGAGGGGGAGAGAGGCAGGCAGGGAGGGAGGGAAAACCCTAGGAGCCATCCAAAAGGCAAAATGGGGGCAGTGCACAGGGATTTCTGAGCAAGGATTAAGAGAAACTGGATGAGAAAGAAGGCCAAAATATGCCTCACCCAGGAGGAAAGCTTGGCAGAGCCTTCAAGATATGCTGAAACCTAGCAATGCTGGGTTACCATCCTCTCTAGGAATGTGGAAATGCAAAGAAATGTGTTTTAGTAGTTAATTCTTTCCTTTTGAGCTTCTGATACCATTGTAATGTACTGTTGAGACTGTAAGATGTGTTAGCACAGTTAGCCAAGAAGAGGATCTCTGCCAGCTTCAGATTTTATCTTCTGAGTGGTGTGATCCAGAGGGGTTTTCTACAGAGCTGTGTGAAGACAGAAACCTCAGGACTAGGTTGGAGATGAGCAGAACAGCCTTGGTAGGATAAAGCTGAGTACAGTACTTGGCCTACTTGGGAGATGCCCTCCATCATCTGTGTCTGGTTCCTCCCAGGTCAAGCCAAATTTTGCACCCCCGACACCACCGGTTAAGCCTGGGTCTGGAGGGACCGTGCCTGGAGTGACTCAGGTGAGCCCCGGTAGGAAAGGAGTCTATCTTGCTGGAACCATCCTGCTGACTATGGCATTGCTCTGGAGGCTTGGATGGTTTTTTTGGGGGGGGGTATTGTTGTTAAAAGTTTTGTTGACATATGAAAAGAAAAGGGGAAAAATCCTCAGTAACAGGCTTGATGCTTGCCTTATAATCTGCCAGAACTTTTCAGTGCTTGCTGCTCTCAGAGGCTGTCAATTTTTCCTTTTCATGTGGCAGTGAGAAATCTATACCATATATGAAGTTATCTTGTGTGGATGGAGTTATTGATCCTGCTGTTAGGGGAAGGGAGAATCTAAATTTAAAGAATTGTACCTCTTAGAGCAGACAAGATTCTCCTAACATCAATTTTCCTTTTTTTTTTTTTTTTTTTTTTTTTTTTTTTTTCCTGGCAGAGAGCTGGTGGTCCAACGGATGCTCTGAAGGTTCCTTTCCAGAAGAGGTGACCAGCTAGGGCACCCAGGGGCCATCGTAGGCTTGTGGAAGTTTGGAGTTACCAGTGCTCCTTCGGCAACAGCCCCCACTCAGGCTGGACCTGCAGTCACTGTTCCTACCTCAGGAGTAATCTCTATGCGGCTCTTGCTGTCCAGCTGCCCACTCGAACCAGTGTCCTCTCACTGGCTTTAGACAGCTTAGGCCACATGTCTGAAGTTGCTAGGCTGGGGTGGCGTCACCCTCAGTGAGCGACTGTACCTGTCTTCTGGTGTGGACAGGATGCCAGGACCCCCCCCTCCCAGAAACGTCTGCACCCGCCCTTACCCAGCGACCCCTCTCCAAGGCCGGGGCAGCTTTGCACAATTCCTGTATCTACTACATCCTACTCATGTACTAGACTTAGGGAGGAAAAGCCACCTTCTGGGGGGAAGGAGGGAGTAATGGGACAGGAGTCGCCGTCATTTCGGAGTTGGGACAGAATGGTTGTCTAACTTACTGCTAAACACTATTCATTAATAAAGATTTTATTTTATCAGTAGATTACAAACCACGTTCTGATTTTATTGTACCAGATCAAACTATTTCACCTACCTTCTCCCTTAATTTTAATCACCCGCCATAATTTAGTCCGGTCCCCTGCCTGACATGTAGGAGAACCAATGCTACCTGGGATCGAGGGAGGGTCGGGTGCGGTGCGGGCCCCGCCCCTTCCGGCTGTGTCTCGTCTCCCAGCAACGGTCCGAAGCCTCCCGATTTCTTCCGCTACTTTTCTCTGCTGCAGCCCCACTCCTCTACTATGTTCAGTACTTCCAAGCAGAGCTCTGCCGAGTTCCTGCCAACGCCTGAGGATATTCACAACCTCTGCGCCTGGCTGGACCGGCTCCCACTTAGCCGCCCCAAGCGCCATCTAGCTCGGGACTTCAGTGATGGTGGTGCGAGTGAGGGCGAGGCGCAATGGGGAGGATGATCAAGAGGACTCAGAGCTGAGGGCTGCCCTTGAGTCCAGCCCCATAGTACCGGGCCGTGGAGGGGCGGGGGGTGGGGGGGGAGGCAGACATGGCCTCCTGTGGCTCTTCCAGCTCTTCCTGGGCTCTCACGCTGTGGTAGCTCCCCAGACCATCCTACCACCTGGTCTGTCCTGGAGTCTAGGTGCGGTACCGAGGGACTCTCAGGGACAATCACGGGCTCCCCAGGACAAGCTCTTGCCCTTTCCCCTTCACTCTGTGCATCTCGTGTGGTCAGGGATTGCAGCTGCACCCCAGGGTCTTAGCCAGGCAAGCCAAGCTCACCTTGCATTCCCACAGTGCTGGTGGCCGAGATTGTGAAGTACTTCCACCCTCGGCTGGTGGACTTGCACAGCTACGTCCCAGCCTGCAGTACAGACCAGAAGCTAAGCAACTGGAGCCTTCTCAACAGGCAAGGTTTGGGGGCTCAGCCCACCTAGGTTGACCCAAAGACAGTCTCTAATGCCCCTTTGGGACAAGTTTCTAGCTGCGGGTCTCTGACATTACTGTGGGTCCTTGGCTACAGAACTGTACCACAACCAGGTTTCCTGCGGACTCCCTGCTAGGACAGCCCACCAACTAGCCTGTTCCTCTTACGGATTAGTGATGGCACATTTCACTCCACCTCCCAAATTGTCCTCAGACAAGCCCCTGCTTGTATGTTTGTTGTGATAAGTGGCACCAAGAACCACCAGAGTAAGACAGACATGTCAGATGTAGTCAAATCAAGAGAGCCCCGAGGAAGTGACTGAACAGAGCAAGGTGGGGAACACGTGTGGGTGCAGGGGAAGTCAGAGCCCTCAGGACTGACTAAGATTGGATTAGGGGCATTGTAGGACTCAGACCTGGGCACAGTCTCATGAGCTTATGTTTGAGGGGATGGAGTTGGAAGGAAATCTCAAGGGAGGTAGGCCATCTTGCCTGAGAGGACCCAGCTGCAGAATTCAGGGACTGTTTAGCTGTATCAACAGGGTTTTCAGGGCAGAGGGCAGGCAGTCAGGAAGACAAGGATGAGCACAAAGGACCTGGCCTGTTGTAGCCGAGTGCGGCAAGTGTTCTGTGGTCTCCTGAGATGTAGGCCCACAAGGCCAGGAGGGAAATAGACATAGGACCCTAGGCTGCAGAACAAAATGCAGACCTTGCTAGCCTCTCCTCTCTCAAGAAGCTAGTTGTTGTCCAGTGGCTAGAAGGCATGGCCCACGAGGACAGGACTACAGGGAAGGCTCAGCTCCCAGCCGTGGTGGCACTGCTTTGAGAGTGTGCCCCCACTTTCTCTGCAGGAAAGTCTTTCGAAAGCTGCACTTCTGTATCTCAGAGGCTGATATCCAAAAGGTGGTGTCAAACAGGCCCGGGGTTATCGAGTCAGTCCTGTGTGCGCTGAGGGAGAAAATGGAGGCCAGCACTGTTCATGTAGGCTCAGCTGGTGCAGCTGTAAGTGTCTGCACCCCAAATCAGACTCTGCAAGTCGGCCGAGTCTGCTGACCTTTGTGCACAGTCAGATAACCTGTGTGTGTGTGAGAATAAAACAGAGAAATGAATGTCCCTGTGGTCCAGAATGAAATAATGTCCACACATGAGGTTACAGTACCCACTTAAGCTCATTCCTGACTTTCCTGCTGGCTGGGATCTTCCCAGGCCCCCATCTCCTTCCCAGCCAGAACCACCTACCCTGAGGCAATGAAAAGACTTAAGAGTTTTCCAATTACAACCACCCCAAGCCCTTCTCACTCTTCTTCTGCAGTTTACCCACTGACCCCACCCAGTGTGGAGACTAGACATGTTCATCCCTGCTATACCTCACCTCCCAACTTCTGTACTCTGCAGGATCCAGGACTCTCCAGTGTAGATGCTGTCCGACCTTGGGCAGGGCATACCACCCACCCACATACCACTAGGACTCAAGATCTTAATGTGGATAATTGCAGCCTGTCAGAGCCCCTCTGGGACTCCCATGGAGAACGTCACTACATTCCTGAAAGCTGGACACACGACAATCACGAGCTCACAAACCTTCATAAAAGGGCAGGTATGCTCAGGTGCATCCTGGGTCCAGAGGGGCTAGTTGGCTTCTGAGGAAGGCACCCTCACTTGTACAGGCAGAATACTTAAGGTCCCAGCTCCATCAATGCCCAGAGAGCAACCATCCAAGGGGGAGCCTGTGAGCCATGCAGGGAAGCCATTTCTGATCTTTCTGGGGCTATGCAAAGGGCCCTGATGCCAAGCTAGGACCAAGTTCTTCCGTGATGACTTACTTCTGAGTTTGCTTTACCCAATATGGACCATGTCCCCTCCCCTTATCCATGTTTACTATCACTAGTGTGTGTGTGTCAAAAACAAGGTCCTGAGCTGATGGTATCTATTTGTCATACAGGCCAACAGAGCCCTACAGCCCCCTTCAGCATGAAGACCCTTCAGAATCAAAGGGATCTGGAGAAAATGGGCTGCTGTTCTTGCAGAGGGTGGACCCTTATCTCTCAAATTCTCCCTGCCCACCTCCTTATGATTCCCTATCCTGGATTAAAGGTCAGTGTTTACCTTTCAGGGACCCAGTTGAAGGGCTCTGGGATCACCTGGCCAGCATCCAGCAGCAGCTGGAGGATAAGGAGCAAGCACTAGCCATTCTGCAGGAGACAGTCAAGGTATGGGCCTGTTGGGCATCCCTTGCTGCCTGGACAATCTGAGCTGCATGTCAAGGATGCAGAGGGATCCATTACCCCAGTTTCAGATTCCTTGGCTGAGTTTCTGCAGAGCTGGCACTGACCCAGTGAAGGGCATGTTCGGTGTGCAGGACCCTGACCAGAGAGAACCAACATTCTTCAGATTGTTTAGAAAACAGTCTATGGAATGTTTCAGTCCTTCTCAGAGGCAGGAAATATATGGTGGCTCCCTAATGTACTCATCACCCGATTTATCCACACCACACCCAAGTGCAGCACAAGGGTACAGGGTGGCTGTATAGACCAAGGCCCATCTCGGGAAGCAGGTGCTGGGTGAACATCTGGAAAGCAGTGAGGGTGGGATGCTGACTGGAGAGACTCCTGCCTGCCCCCCTCCCCACTAGCCTGAACTGGGCCTCACCTTTCTCCCCATCTCCAAAGTCCAGGGCCCTGGAAAAAACCCACCTGGGGATCCTTGTGAGCATTTAGATGTGCAATGCACACCTGGCTTCGGTGGACATCTGGTTCTATGGAACACACTTTGATCTGCAGTACACATCTGGCTATATGATACACAAGTTTATTCTGCAGTGCAGATCTTGTTCTGCAGCGCACACCTGGTTTTGTGGTGGGTGCCTGGTTGTGTGGGCTAATGCCCGGTCCTGAGGATGCACATCCTGTTCTGTGGGTGTATTCCTGGCTCTGTGAGCACCCACCTAATCCTGCAGTATATTCCTGGTTGTGTGATGCATGCCTAGCTCTCTGATGTACATTTGGTTCTGCAGGCACACATATGTTCTGCTACCGTTTCATCAAGAACTTCCAGTGTCCCCCTACTATTCCTTATCTCTCCTGGTGTCCCAGGAGCACAAGAGCTAAGACAATAGGGGAGAGTAGACAGCCTGGGCCTTTGGACCTCAGAGTCACAGAGGCTATCGGAAATTGCCATACCTTCTCAGTTCCTGCTTATGTACCCAAATCTTGATGAGTGATCTTCTTGTGAAAACAGGAAAGTGATGTGATATCACTGTGGCTTTGAAATTGCAGAGCAAAAGTAGAGAGGAAGCAGAGTAAGGAGAACTGAAGCTGCTGCCTCCGTATGCCCTGCTTGTTCCCAGCCCAGCCCTCCCCACTGCCGCCCTGGCTCATATGCTGACCAGGGGGAACTGTAACTCTTCATTGGAGACTCAGAGAGGAAACAGACCAACTTGCCATCTAAGGGTTGATTTGATGCTCAACTTGCCATTTAAGGGTTGAGTACCACTTGTAAATTGTCACTAAGTGAGATACACAACTTTGGAGTTGAAGAGACACCAGAAGTCATAGGAAAAATATATGGTCTCAAAAACATTTAAAATATTTGTGTACATGTGCATGGAGGCCAGATACATCAAATCCTCCTGCAGCTGAAGCTGTAGGTGCTTGTGAGCTGCTGAGGTGGGTGGTAGGGATTGAACTCTGATCCTCTCAAGAGGTTACATTTATTTACACACTCTTTTTTTTTTTTTTTTTTTTTTTTGGACAGGGTCTCTCTATATAGCTCTGACTGTCCTTGACCTTTCTTTGTAGACTAGGCTGGCCTCAAACTCACAAAGATCCACCTGCCTTTGCCCGCCACCCCACCCCCCACCCCTGCCAAGTACTGGGATTAAAGGCATGCACCACTAAATCCAGCAAGAATATGCAAGCTTGACCTTAACCACTGAGCTATCTCCAGCCCTCCTTCACTTATTCTTGAGTCATCAACTTTTGGAAGTATACGTTGAACACAGTCCAACAACTACATACCTATCAGTCCATTGCTGGTTTGTCATGTGTGCCGAGTATCTTCCCAACTAGGCACTGGGCTCTCAGCAAAGAAGGTTCAGTGCCTTCCCAGCCCAGGC